TCAGAATATACAGTCCCTCACAACATGTGGTTTATCAGAATATACAGTCTCTCACAACATGTGGTTTATCAGAATATACAGTCCCTCACAACATGTGGTTTATCAGAATATACAGTCTCTCTCACAACATGTGGTTTATCAGAATATACAGTCCCTCACAACATGTGGTTTATCAGAATATACAGTCCCTCACAACATGTGGTTTATCAGAATATACAGTCTCTCACAACATGTGGTTTATCAGAATATACAGTCCCTCACAACATGTGGTTTATCAGAATATTCAGTCCCTCACAACATGTGGTTTATCAGAATATACATATCCCTCACAACATGTGGTTCAGAATATCAGAATATACAGTCCCTCACAACATGTGGTTTATCAGAATATACAGTCCCTCACAACATGTGGTTTATCAGAATATACAGTCCCTCACAACATGTGGTTTATCAGAATATACAGTCTCTCACAACATGTGGTTTATCAGAATATACAGTCTCTCACAACATGTGGTTTATCAGAATATACAAAAAGAGAAGTCAAAGAAGGAAAGAAAATGAAGATTCAATAAAATAACAAGAAGAAAGAAAATATAACCACAACACAGAAATTAAAACCAGCGACACGGTCACTATATCTTACATCAAAGAGGTGACAGAAAATTTTCGTGGATTTAACAAAGATATCACATCAATACTCCCGTGTGGCCATACATTCGCCGTCAACAAGTCAGTAGTGCACCCCAAAGTGACAAAAGAAAACTAAACCGGGTGTGGTTTACCAAGTCAATGCAACAGTTTGCAATCGGCTATAACGGTAAATTGGAATACAGACAGACGTAGCCATAATGGAAAACAATGTACACACAAGAAAACCACGAGGAAATATCTACCACAAGATTGAATGGAACAGCTCGAGGGAACTGAAAACTGAGAGACCAAGGGATCCGTCTGGATAAGGGAAGTGATAAGGGAACTGATGAACAGAGACGAGGGGTGCCTGAGGAAAGGAAGAAACATCCACTGTCCCTTAGAATGCAGTATAAAAGTTTAAACGAGACAAAATGCGTCCTGACAATTTGACAGCGCCAAAAGGTGAACTGCCGTTAAGACCAATTTGTACATTTTAGTTGATAGAAGAAATAGATGTTTTCGAAAGCTCACGAAACAGAAAATACAGTTTTCTATCGCTGTTTGTGCTAAAGGTAAACATCATCTTGAATAATACACCTGTAGTAGTATTGTGGGCGGTGTCCCTCGGAATCTCTGCTCAAGAAGGTTTTAAATACTTTCGTCCGATATGTCCCTCGGAATCTCTGCTCAAGAAGGTTTTAAATACATTCGTCCGATATGTCCCTCGGAATCTCTGCTCAAGAATGTTTTAAATACATTCGTCCGATATGCCCCTAGGAATCTCTGTTGAGGAAGGTTTTAGAAACATTCGTCCGATATGTCCCTAGGAATCTCTGTTCAGGAAGGTTTTAGAAACATTCTTCCGATATGTCCCTCGGAATCTCTGTTGAGGAAGGTTGTAGAAACATTCGTCCGATATGTCCCTAGGAATCTCTGTTGAGGAAGGTTTTAGAAACATTCGTCCGATATGTCCCTAGGAATCTCTGTTGAGGAAGGTTTTAGAAACATTCGTCCGATATGTCCCTAGGAATCTCTGTTGAGGAAGGTTTTAGAAACATTCGTCCGATATGTCCCTCGGAATCTCTGTTGAGGAAGGTTTTAGAAACATTCGTCCGATATGTCCCTAGGAATCTCTGTTGAGGAAGGTTTTAGAAACATTCGTCCGATATGTCCCTCGGAATCTCTGTTGAGGAAGGTTTTAGAAACATTCGTCCGATATGCCCCTAGGAATCTCTGTTGAGGAAGGTTTTAGAAACATTCGTCCGATATGTCCCTCGGAATCTCTGTTGAGGAAGGTTTTAGAAACATTCGTCCGATATGTCCCTCGGAATCTCTGTTGAGGAAGGTTTTAGAAACATTCGTCCGATATGTCCCTAGGAATCTCTGTTGAGGAAGGTTTTAGAAACATTCGTCCGATATGTCCCTCGGAATCTCTGTTGAGGAAGGTTTTAGAAACATTCGTCCGATATGTCCCTCGGAATCTCTGTTGAGGAAGGTTTTAGAAACATTCGTCTGATATGTCCCTAGGAATCTCTGTTGAGGAAGGTTTTAGAAACATTCGTCCGATATGTCCCTAGGAATCTCTGTTGAGGAAGGTTTTAGAAACATTCGTCCGATATGTCCCTAGGAATCTCTGTTGAGGAAGGTTTTAAAAACATTCGTCCGATATGCCCTAGAAATCTCTGTTCAGGAAGGTTTTAGAAACATTCGTCCGATATGTCCCTAGGAATCTCTGTTGAGGAAGGTTTTAGAAACATTCGTCCGATATGTCCCTAGGAATCTCTGCCCAGGAAGGTTTTAGAAACATTCGTCCGATATGTCCCTAGGAATCTCTGCCCAGGAAGGTTTTAGAAACATTCGTCCGATATGTCCCTAGGAATCTCTGCCCAGGAAGGTTTTAGAAACATTCGTCCGATATACCATTACATTCACGATTTTATATTTATTAAATCTCAACGTTGACCTTAAATAACCCTACCTTACAACTAATGCTTGATTAATTACAGGTATCGTTTCAGTCTAAATATGGAGACTTGTGAATCGTTCTGACAGCCAGCTGCTCAAGCCTTTTACCGTTAGTGCAGTATGTTAAATAGATCGTTGTAGATGAGTTAGTCAAACCCCTATTTCGAAAGTGTTTCCATTATTAAGAATAATTTAACAGATACCGAACCTGTCACCTGATTTGAAATGTGAAGAGGTTGTTCTCTCTCTTACATTTAGCTGCCGATGACATAACTAAAACCTCCAACAGGTTCATTCTAGAGAGACATCCTTTCTAAGGAAACGGATTTCTTTATTATTGCATGCATTAGCAACAAATTGATCAACATCGAGACTTTCACTTTGGGAAGGAAAACTGATTCTACAACGTACGATTTCCAGCGTTGAATCGCATTGATGAATCGAAAAGTTAAGAATCAATGTCGTAGATTCTTGAGAGGGGACATTTTGAACGAGATGTTATACTTTGTTTGATTTTGGTTTCCTATTCTTTGTTCAATAACATAGGAAATCCTCAGTGTTACAATCATCCTGTTAATGTAATGATAAAGATACTATGTGTTAATATCAGGTTCCTAAACGTCGGTGTTACCTTCACCAGATTACCGGTTATTGTAATGATAAAGATACTACGTGTTAATATCAGGTTCCTAAACGTCGGTGTTACCCTCACCAGATTACCGGTTATTGTAATGATAAAGATACTTTGTTCCCTGTTAATATGTAGGATTCCAAGGGTATAAACATTTTACTACAGGATCGTCTAGTTAATCAACCAATCTATCCACTTCTTACTGTCGTTGTAAGATCATATCAGGGAAACAGCCTTTTGTAAAATGTGTATTTTACAAGTGCAATTCATAGAAATATAGATTTTTATCAACTTCAAACAGTTCTAAACTATATTTTAATTTAAGCTCCTCAAAAATCCATCTTCTATAAAAAGTGGAACATATCCATTATCTGGTCAAGTGAGTTTTCTTTTCAAAGAAACAGCTGTACAAGTATCTGGTATGAATCATGCTTGGCAGGTTTCGTGAAATGTATGTTTGAAGCGAATATACCAAGGACGAAATTGTGAAAATAATGAATAGCTCCTTTCAAGCCTGACCTCATGTTTTCATATCAGGCTGAATTTATGGAAGGCTTACCATGAAATGTCAGAAAGAGGTGCCAAGTCTTTTACTTTCACTTTTCAGATATATTGATAGCCTCGTGTCTCTTAAATAACAAGACTTGTCTGTGTGTATATGGCCATATTTAAAAATCATAGACATCACAGTATCCTCTTCATTTGTCTTTCAATCTTTATGTACAATACAAGCAACTATTAAAAAGGTACATCTGTCCATTACAGTGCATGAAAAGTGTGCTTCTGACAATCCTCTTGTGAGTTTTACATTTCTTGATAGTAACACATCTGCTCCTCCTCCAGCCAAGTGTTTACAAATGTTTTCAGGGAAATTCACAGTTGGGGATGTTTTAGGCTGTATTTCAGGAGATGCCTGCTGTTGACATTGTTCTCATTCAGGAACCTGACATTACTTATGTGGAGAGACTTATATTACAGCTTTGTTGATGAAGCAGAAACATGGTATTGTTCTCTGTTTTTTGAAAGTGAATTATTCTTCTGTATATAGTTGGCCCCCTTTCCTTGATAATGAATTGGAATTTATAATTTACTAATATGTAATTTCTTCCTTTGTTTTTCTTAACAAACATTGTAACCATTTACTTAAGAATTAAATTTTTCTAGCCTCAGTGCTTAACACACAAAGGAAGGCTATTAAATTTGTAAGAATCTCTTATGAGAACTTAACAGTTTCCTTGCAGAAATTATGGTAGTGAGGTTTCAAGAATCAACCATTCTACTGTACTGACATTGAGAATCCCAATACCAGTAATATCAAGAGGGCCAAAGGGCCTGAATTAATCAGCTGGTATTCAATGTTTTTAAAAAACGATTTTACATCATGAAGTTTAAAGCTTTGGTTAATGAGAAGTCTTTTGAATGTTTTAACAAATTTAACCCCTTTGACATTTGATATGGTTCAAGGTCATTTGCTTTAAAATGTTTGAAAAAAAATGACCCCTGTGACTTTGAAGACTTGATTTATATTTGCAGCTGTTGGGCTTCATCAAAGGAACCTAACAGCCAAATATAAATATTCTAGGCCTTTAAATTACTGAAATGAAATTGATTGAAGATTATAACAATTTTTTCCCCTGTGACCTTGAATATGAGTCAAGGTCATTATTTTCACACACTCTTTTGGGCTTCATCTGTGATATCATTGGCCCTTTGGGCCAAGTGAGGTAAAAGAGTAAATCTACATACCAGGAATAAAAACAAAGAGACGAGATTGAAGAGTAACATCAAGCTCTCCTTTATTAGTTGGGTCTAATGATCCATGTGGTATCAAGCATGTACAGAGCTGTCAATGTATATACAGTAAAACTGCTATAGGCCACACAGACTAGGGCAGCAGAGGGACCCAGGCCCAACCAAGGGACAGCAGAGGGAGGGGCCAAGGCCCAAGGGGCCAGGACAGTGCCATAAAGTATTGGTCGGGTTACAATTGATAAAATCTTATATATTAAAGTTTTAAGTAAAATACATGAATTTGAATTTGATATTTCAGCTGTGAGGCGAGATTCCCTACGTGCCCTTCCTGCTCTTCAAATGGAACATGTGAATCCTATTATGCATAAAGAAATAACTGATATGTCGTTGGACAGATGCTAAAAACAAATGTACAAATAGGTGTTACATAACTGATGTTCAGAGATTTCTTATGAAAGATAATGGCTCTCAACACACTTTTGCTTAAAATATTGGAATCATTTCTTGATGTGAAGCCATTTTATAACATACTTGGAAGTACATTAACATGTTAACTACAAAATCTATATATCATAGTGCCTTCATGAGTGGGTGATATCTTACAAGCATTACCCGACAAGTACTGTGAACATAATCTAGTTCAATTAACACTCTGTTCATGTAGTGTCACATCTGCCTGATGTTCAAGACTCAACATGTTCCAAGATACCAATAACTGTTGGTGCAGAAAAAAAATCAAACCAAAATCACCTTAAAGCATACACTACTGTGATAACATGACAAAATATATAGCTATTTCTCAGTATCAGTTGGGCATTTCTTTTATCACCACAACATATTTACAAATTGGTTCTGAGCCACTTGAACATTATCATCTGAATGGTTTCTAATTCAGTCAACCTTACCAGGTATCTTATAATCTTCTTTTATCATATAAATACTACCTTAAAGAGTTCACACCAAAGGGAGATAAGTTTTCTTATCATGGTTTAAAGACCTGGAGAAAAAAAAAAAAAAAAATGAAAGGTCATTCATCCATATTAAATCCTAAGATTTTTTTTTTTTTTACATAAACACAAATGATAAAGATATTGAAACCATCTTTATCTTTATCTCCCAATTTTTATGTTTGTCTTTATCTCCCAATTGGGCAATCCAAGGCAGCATTGTTATTCCTGAAGGACTTCCTTCACATCAACATACAAAACAGTTAACTTGTTCTTAATATCAACATATAAAATTGTATAACAGAAACTTTTGGCACATGTTATTGACAAAAAGCAGAATAAATGTTAATACAGAAAATTCTATGTCATTTAGATATCCATATGTAAGGGTCCGATACACAGTTAAGTACTTCGTTTATAAACAAAAGTATGGTCGATGACTGAGAGACTGAGAAGTTACTGATTATTTACTATTAGAACACTGTATATAGAAATGAATTTCTGAAATGCAAAAAGCAGATATATGACTTGTGGAATGTCAAACGACACATAATATTGTACTAGTGAGGGGACAGTGAGTGTTCCCTACCCACAATATTGTACTAGTGAGGGGACAGTGAGTGTTCCCTCCACACAATATTGTACTAGTGAGGGGACAGTGAGTGTTCCCTCCACACAATATTGTACTAGTGAGGGGACAGTGAGTGTTCCCTACCCACAATATTGTACTAGTGAGGGGACAGTGAGTGTTCCCTACCCACAATATTGTACTAGTGAGGGGACAGTGAGTGTTCCCTCCACACAATATTGTACTAGTGAGGGGACAGTGAGTGTTCCCTCCACACAATATTGTACTAGTGAGGGGATAGTGAGTGTTCCCTACCCACAATATTGTACTAGTGAGGGGACAGTGAGTGTTCCCTACCCACAATATTGTACTAGTGAGGGGACAGTGAGTGTTCCCTCCACACAATATTGTACTAGTGAGGGGACAGTGAGTGTTCCCTCCACACAATATTGTACTAGTGAGGGGACAGTGAGTGTTCTCTTCACACAATATTGTACTAGTGAGGGGACAGTGAGTGTTCCCTCCACACAATATTGTACTAGTGAGGGGACAGTGAGTGTTCCCTCCACACAATATTGTACTAGTGAGGGGACAGTGAGTGTTCCCTACCCACAATATTGTACTAGTGAGGGGACAGTGAGTGTTCCCTACCCACAATATTGTACTAGTGAGGGGACAGTGAGTGTTCCCTCCACACAATATTGTACTAGTGAGGGGACAGTGAGTGTTCCCTCCACACAATATTGGTATTAACGCCATATCTTCTTCCAAACACTCTCACTACTTATCTGGCAATTTTAAAGTTTATGAAATAATCAATTTCTTTTTTCATTTCAAATAATTAAAGACAAAAAAGGGAAAAGTTTAGATTGTAAAACATAGATATTTTTTCAAAGTCCAATTTAAAGAACCTATGAATATTATGGTTTGGTCAGACTGAGATACAGTTACAGCTCATCCAAAACTGCCTTTATCTTAATTATAACAGAAATGGTTGAGATAAAGGATATGATTGAAGTCTGTATAAAGCAATGACAATAACCAGTTTAGAGCACAAGGAACTTTTCCAAACTGCACAGACATGGTACGAGTATGAAGTCAAACATGGTATTTTGTGGATGAGGGAACTATATATGTAGGGTTATAGTTTTACAGCTTTTATGGAAATTTCAAAACCTGCTATCACTTTTCTTCAAAGTGTATAAATTGTATATACATGCAAGATTCAACCAATAAAAATAGGATATACTCGAATGTTGATTCACACAGGTTAATAATATGTGGATAAGAAGCGGAGCACACTGCAAATTTGTTTAATTTATACAGGCCTGTGTGTAACAATCTATAGCTCTAATACTATCACTGTCTTAAATTATATATTACTTTTCATAAGAAAATATATTCAACCATACAGCTTATATATAAGACACAGCGCATGCACATGGGGAAATATAAATGTCTCCGGCCTAGTACAAACCAATCAAATACCAATGATATGACCACATATATATGGAGAGAAAAACATAATAAATATGTGTGTAATTACTATAGTCTCAAGGTCACATGTGACACATGTACCTGATGGAGAAAGCAAGTCCATGCCTGATTAAGACCTCTGTTGAAGGGTTGTCCTATCTGATACAACACATATACAACTATGACGAGTGCTGTATACTGGTCTCCCATGAAAGCTGATCGACACAGAGAGATGAACAGTGCTGTTGACTCATTCCTATCAGATAGTTTGCTTTCTCCAAAAGGTACATAATTATTTAACAATGAAATCATTGAACAAAATAACAAAAAACGCAAACTACAACAGATATGTTCACAGATGCAATAAGGCACATACAACATGATGTAACAGCAAAATGATGGTGTTGTTTCCTCCTGACAATTGTGAGCAGATCCAAGCTGACCAGTGGTCACAAAAGACATAGGATTTGGTCAGACTGACTAGATACATAAACTAATATGACCTTCCTCTTTTACTGTTAACAGGTGATAAACACAGGAATTGTGGTCTTCAAATGAATTTCGATTTCAGCTGTTATCTACCTGTTGAGTCATTATGTCCCCTTAACAGTGTCAGCACTGAATGCCCCCAGTGCTCACCTGTATGTATGTCTGCTGGCCTAATTACATCTTATTACATATTGAATACCTGATCAAACAGTTTCTTATACGATACAGGATCAACAGTCCTACTTTTATCATATATAACCATGTTAATGTAAAACTTCAAAATGAATTTTAATTCACTTTTCAAAACTGATACTACTAATCATATAAACCTGAAGTCTCCCTGAGTGATGAGAAGTTTTCATCCTAAGCAAGTGTTTATAGACACACAGTGAGGAAGGCCATAGATTTATCTCTAAAGTAAAGGATATCTATCACTGGGTGCTAATCAGATTTATCTCTAAACAATATTTATCACTGGGTTCTAATCAGATTCATTAAACTCAAACCTAACTACTTATTTATACATAAAATTTTACTATTTCACTCTCCTACACATGTTTCTGTTTGCTTACAGTATATACATGATTTTAGGCTTTCCCATCATTTCATTAACGGCAAGAATTATCTTAACACAACATAATACACTGTATTAATTTCTTTGGTGATTCAGTGAAACCGCTGAACACAGTACAGTCTTTTCCCACAAAATTTTCTTAATATCATTCAACAGTGAAAGACAATATCATCCATTTAGGAATAAAGAAGAAATCAACAGTATTTTTAACAATAGAAGATGCCTAATTTGCATAATTACAGTGATGTGAATGAGTAAAATAAGTAATTAACCACAATGCTACAATATAACACTAAGATAGCTTTCTCTGTGCTGAACCATCACACATGTAAAAAAAATTTACAATATTTTCAGCTATTTTTCACCAAAATTGAAATAAGTAAAATAAAACTAAAAAATTCATGAATCCAAAGTCCTTTAAATATTAAAATTCAAACCAAAACTTGTCTAACAGTTGAAATTAAAAAACATGAAGTCCTGCAACGGCTGAATTTAAAACCTAAATTCTTCTAATAGCTGTAGTTAAAACCTAAGCACTCTAACGTTTGAATTTAAAACCTGAAATTCTCAAACGATTGAAATCAAAACCTGAAATCCTCTTCCAATAGTTGAAATTAAAACCTGATTGTAACAGTTGAAGTTAAATCTATGATAAACCATGGAGCCTCAAAAATTCCCAACAAGAATCTTACTTTAATGTTTAAAAATGGGAATCTCAATCTCTTGACCTATAATGACTGTGTATAGGCTTTGATGTAGTACATAAAACAAGTATGTAACACAAATAACATGGGTAGTTTTGTAGGAAGATCTCAAGTTAACACCTGTAACACACCTGGATTAGAAACTGTATATATGTACAATAGATTTTATCATCTCAGTACCTCCATAGATTTTGAATGAGAAAATTCTATTTGAATCCTTTCCTGATATAAAATTTCTTATCTATCTTTTAGATGTGAACATGATCCATCTACAATCAATTGAATTTGCCTGCATTGTGGTATGATCTAGTTCAAACACTACAACATATGCTGTACTAAGGTAAAAAAATCAACAAGAAATTTGATTCTTTCAAACAGATATTTTAAAATTTCAATTATATTGAGCTTATTGTTACGGGAAATCTATAAAATGTTTTATGTTAAAACACACCATAAAAATTCTATTTGATGAGTTATTTGATCAGCAGAATTATAAAGTTGATAAATATAGTTACAGAGCTTCATACTAATACCATTCCAACGACACCCCTCCCATATATATCTATAGGTAATGTTAACCCTAGTACCTAGGAATGGTGAAGTAAGTGTTTACAGATCTAAATTTTGTTTTGATCACTACTTTTATCTACAAGTTTGAAATCACATTTAAAGGTTATATAATTTACTGCACACTGGCAGCACCACACACTTATATGGCTCTGTGTACTGTGGTGAAGTTATAAAACATAATATATATTTTAAATTAAGATTATAAAGGGAGATAACTGCATTAATGCCATAACCATGCGTGGATTTTCATGGGGTTACCCTTGACAGAAGTCCTAAAATGGAACCTTTATCGAGTCCTGGATAAGTGGAATATATTTTGTGGTCCCTTTGACCTTGGCAAATTTCAGTTTTACAGTACACTTCAAAAGGACTGCCTAAAGGTGTCTGTTACATAATGGAAGGGAGAGAAATTTGACGAAAAAAAAACTTGTCAACGCTGTAATGTTGGGCCATATGTTATTGACACATGATGAGAACCCCACTGAATATACATCACATTCTCAATGCCACAGAAATATCAAATATCTATATTTTCAATTTTAATAATGAACCAGGAAGAAAAATGTCACTTTGAGAGCATATGGAGTGAGAAGAATGCTAAGCTTGCCATTGGCTGGTGTCTAGATAACAAGTGATGTGCCCCATGATTGGCCAGTGGTTATAATCGCCATGGTAATGGATCTAGATAACAAGTGATGTGCCCCATGATTGGCCAGTGGTTACAATCGCCATGGTAATGGATGCAAAGTGGTAGTACCAGGGAATGGGGGAATGTATGAGTCCAAATACCTAGTGCTTACCTATCAATTTTATTTGAGATTCTTCAAGCTAATGGTTTCATTCATTAAATCTACATAATACAATGTATTTATAGATCATTCTCACTCTCATCAACATAGTTAGCTAAATCTATATCTCAACCAGGCATCAATGTTTTCACATTCTCCTATTTATAAAAAATACATATGCATGCAATTCTCATGTAAATATGGTCTTGGATACTGTGCCCTCGACATGTCTGGTCGCAGCCGCTCAAACTTTCACACCATGGCAGTCATTTTAAACCCACAAATATTTCTTGATATTATCTTTTAAAGTTTGAAGATGAAAGGACTTACAATACATACTGTTAAGGCAGAGACACATGTCTGACATTAAGGGTAACTTTCATTCAAATTGGCTGCCATGGTAACAAAAGTCGGCTCCAGGAAATAAACGCTTACACTGCTTGGTTCATGTTGGTATGAAATATGGTCCCCAATATTACAAACTTGTCTGGTAGCTCCACTTTGCGGATAAGATTTATTAAATAATAAATAAGGATTTTTATTAATAAATAATTTAATTTAGGAGAAATAAGGAAAATGTTTTCTCTTGGGATGGAATGCATTCGAACACAGCAATGAGTTGAAAAATGAAACAAAAATTAAAACAATTACATACATGTTTTCTGGAGAATCTGCTAGTCACAGTGGCTCTGTCACAGAGAAGACAATCAGTGCAAATTAAACATTCCGATATGAATGGACCCACAACACGTGACAGAGGCATTGTAATTACCAGACAAATGATTAATGTGACATTCTTACATGGGGACACATTCAACCAGAAAGTTTTGGTGTTAGTGCTACTAGTAATGTGAAAAATACACGTGTATGGTCTGAAAAGTCTCTTCTCACAAAATTATCTAATTCACAAAAAAAGGAAACAATGCAATATCACTTACAACAAACCAATACCAGCACTGCAAATAGCTAAGTTATCAATATGCAATTTTTTTTTTTATTGTTTAAAAAAAACTAAATGCTTATTTATATAATTACTGTCCATGCTCACTTGTATGTACAACAAATGGCTTCATCTGTACATATATCTGTATATATTTGAAGATATCAGTCCATCTGGTGAATATACGCAGTGCTTTCTTTCTTCCTCTGACAGTTTTCAGATATAAATCTTTCCCCATCTTGCCTTTCTAATATAAAAGATTTTAAAAAATGTATTTCTGCACCTGTCTTACTTGAAAGTCTTGGTCCAAACTTACAATAAGCACCACATTCATTATTTGTTCAAATTTCATTGTTGAAATTTTGTTTCAATATGAGCTTCATAACATATTAATACAGTTTTATCTGACCCTTACACTACCTAAAATCTCTAGAGTCTGCACTGATGCTCCTTAAATTCACTAGAGCCAGCATTAACACTTCTTACAATCTCTAGAGCAGCCAGCACTGGCATTCTTTTCAATCTCTAGAGCCAGCACTGGCATTCTTTTCAATCTCTAGAGCCAGCACTGACATTCTTTTCAATCTCTAGAGCCAGCACTGACATTCTTTTCATTCTCTAGAGCCAGTACTGGCATTCTTTTCATTCTCTAGAGCCAGCACTGGCATTCTTTTCATTCTCTAGAGCTAGTGTTGACTCTCCACAATCTTATGACCAGCGTTAACACCCTCTACTAACTAGAACCTGTTGTTTCTGTTAATTTTTCCCAGTTGATACCACTGTGTAGATCTGTAGGAGTGTTGAAGTCTGTATCATCAAAGTTGAATAGTTCTAGTACCTCCTGCTGTGTCTTGGGGGTGAGGATGGGATCGGAGGGGAATGACACAGGTGGATTAGCACTGAGTGGGGTCAACCCTGTACTGGGCATGATCACATCCAACCAGTCGGACACATCCATCTGATTATTAGCACAGTTGTCTGGGTCTGTTAGTCCCAGCCCCGTCAGGTCAGGTTCAGACCCGTGGGGTGCCACTTTGTTGTTGCCACCCTGTAACAATGGCACATTTAAGAAGTCATTAACTCCATCACACTTCATTTCTTGGTCTGTCTGCATATGCATTGAAGTTGTGTCATTTAAGTCTAAAGTGAAGGATTGGTCAGAAGTCCAATCCATTGAGTTTAAATCCTGGTTCAACATATAGTCATTTATATCCAGCAGGTCATGAGTACTTGTGTCTGGTGACAACACATTGGCTACCATCAGTGGAGGTGGTGTAGAACTCTCCTGCTTCACGCAGTGTGATGACACTTGTTGTGGGCTGTTCAGCAGCAATGTGACATTATCAGACACAGTGTCTTGTGGAGCAGTCACAGTGAAAGAAGACGACAATCCAGTATACTGTTCTGAACTAGTCACAGCATATGATGCCACTGTAGTTGTGGTGGTTGTGGTTGTCATGGAGACACTCGACTGTGACACACTAATTGGTATAGTAGCGGTCTGTGTGGTTGTTTTTGGTGTTGGAGGAGGTTCCTGCGCAGCACTTGGTGGCAATTCTGTGGGAAATAAAAGTTATCAGATTATTATCTTTACCCACAAAAAAAAGGTTAAGTGAAGCTTTCTGTTCTAAATAACAGGTGAGCAGTCATGGCAGCTCACATGGAATTTCTATAGCTGCTGTTACAGGTACACCAAAAGTGTACAATTATCTTGACCCAGGACTCCATGATCAGGCCCCTCGGTCAACACTGTGGGATCATTATGTTTTGAAAGAAAACTCTATGTATGTGCAAACAAGCATTAAAATAATGTGTTAGAAGTGCTTTTTCAGAAGAAATGTATAAAAAAAAATAACTTTTTCTGAAAGTTGATATTAAACCTGACTGTATGACCTTTATTAATCTTTAATCCCTCTATACTTGTCTCGAGACAATGAAGTGAGAATAAAAACATTTTTCCAGTACATTTATACGCTGTTGATTTCCAAATATCTCTACAAATTGACATGGGGAACTTTTGTAATGTTTAATGAGATTTGGTTGAAAACATAACATCACTATTTAAGTACAAGAAGTATGTCTGATGTCCACAATATAATCGTACCCCCGGTTCGGATGAGTATCTCCAAAACATCGTCCATGGCTTGACTTTTCACTGGAATTTTGTTGGGTACTGTACCATTATTCAGCTCTGTTGCTCCCGATCCCTGTAAACAGCCAGACATTAATTACAACTCAGGACAAACTTAGGAAATAAATTGTTCTTCTGACAGTGGTTCAGACCAAGAGGTTTGTATTAATTTCAGTATAAAAACATTAAGCTGGTGTTTATTACATCATTGGTAACAAATTCTGATCCAAGTGTAAAACTCAAGGTTCCAACCCTGCTGTATCATCTCTCACTCAAAATGACTAACTGAATGTTGTGATAGAATCATAGTTGGTAGCTTTTATAACAAAACAACCCCCTCTTTTGATACACATCAGTTACATGTGAATTTCTATCTTTTAATGATGATATGTGAACAAGATAACAGCAGTCCAACATACACAAGACTTGAACAATCAAACTATCAGCTGGCCAGCCAAATGCTCTTGATCAATTTTTCTTAAATACAAATGATAAAAGAGAAAAGATGATTCTTTTATGTAATTTTAACAGCCAGGAAGTGAACACCCAAATTGACTTCAAGACATAAACGGTCTTTTGTACAACATTGCAAAAGACTGCAATATTTCAAAGGAAGCTTATTGATCTATTAAAGAAGAGTACTTGCACATTTGCTTTCACTCTTCTCTCCAATTGTATGTAATGTTGTGTAAATAGCTAGCCTTCCATCAGGTAATGTGCTGGCTAGACACTGTATACCCAAGCATCATTAATGGTACCCACTCAGCATATTGATGAACCATACAGGAGCAATCTCGTCCACAACATGTGCATCACCCCTGTCACAGGCGGTGTACATATAGCTACTACAGCTACCTGTTCATGTTGATAGGCATAGCACACAAAATGACAATCATTATAAAACTAAATAATGACATTAAATAATGAGTTTGTTAGATAAACATTTTAGTTGCCAGGACACTTGTTCTGTACCATAGTTAACCTATCAGAGCACCTGTTCGGTACCATAGTTAACCTATCAGAGCACCTGTTCTGTACCATAGTTAACCTATCAGAGCACCTGTTCTGTACCACAGTTAACCTATCAGAGCACCTGTTCTGTGCCATAGTTAACCTAACAAGGCACCTGTTCTGTACCATAGTTAACCTAACAGAGTCCATATTCTGTACCGTAGTTGACCTAACAAGGCACCTATTCTGTACGATAATTACCTAAAAGGGCACCTGTTCTGTACCATAGTTAACCTATCAGAGCATCTGTTCTGTACCATATTTAACCTATCAGAGCACCTGTTCTGTACCAAAGTTAACCTACCAGAATATTGCTACCTTTCTGCATAAGATTGATCCTATATAATGCTTGTTATGAAGCTTTGAAACACTCAGTTTACTGGAATCCTTCCAGAAATATGTCAGACTGATAAAGAACAAGTTCTTATGATGTTTTTCATTTTTTCCAATATTAGTTTATATAAAGCAGTGTGTTTTGAGATCGCAGCGCGGGGCTGTGTATCTATACACTACAGAGAAGTACCCTGATCTGTCACTGAGATGGTAGGTACAGCAACAGCACAGGAATGTGAGAGGATGTACCTTGTGAATGCATGCTGTTCATACATGTGCATTGTCAGATATATTTTTAAGAACACCTACGACAGCCCTTGCTGTTTTTTCAGCTTTGGTAGCAGTTCTATCATGGAGATGTCTGGCACATGTTAATCTCTCTTGGTCTGCCATGCTTTCTAGCTACATATGTATGATGGGTTGTTGGAGCAACTTGCCAGTCAATTTAAGCAATCTTTCTACCTAAGTATTTGTTTTATCTCCTAGGTACATTTGTGTATGTTTTGGGTACCTTTCCAGAGCTAGCAGTATTTACATTTCTACCCAATATCCAGCCCTATGAACTCAATTACTGCTTATCCTGGATAAGTCACATCTATGTAGATCTCAAAGGATCAAACATAATGGACTTTCCATAGCCAGACACTGTGTAACTCATTATCATCTTACCTAAGATAGTTTGACCCCTTGACCCCTGTCACACACCTTACCAGTTGTAACCCAACCTAACCTTGTATATCATAACCCTTGTACCACACCTTACCTGTTGTTACCAAACCAAACTTGTATATTATGACCCCTGACCCATACCTTACCTGTAGTGATTCCTGTCATAACCCTGTATATTATGACCCCTGACCTATACCTTACCTGTGGTAATTCCTGTCATAACCCTGTATAATATGACACCTGACCCATACCTAACCTGTGGCAATCCCTGTCATAACCCTGTATATTATGACCCCTGACCCATACCTTACCTGTAGTGATTCCTGTCATAACCCTGTATATTATGACCCCTGACCCATACCTTACCTGTGGCGATTCCTGTCATAACCCTGTATATTATGACCCCTGACCCATACCTTACCTGTAGTGATTCCTGTCATAACCCTGTATATTATGACCCCTGACCCATACCTTACCTGTGGTGATTCCTGTCATAACCTTGTATATCATGACCCCTGACCCATACCTTACCTGTGGTGATTTCTGTCATAACCTTGTATATCATGACCCCTGACCCATACCTTACCTGTGGCAATCCCTGTCATAACCCTGTATATTATGACCCCTGACCCATACCTTACCTGTAGTGATTCCTGTCATAACCCTGTATATTATGACACCTGACCCATACCTTACCTGTAGTGATTCCTGTCATAACCCTGTATATTATGACCCCTGACCCATACCTTACCTGTGGTGATTCCTGTCATAACCCTGTATATTATGACCCCTGACCCACACCTTACCTGTAGTGATTCCTGTCATAACCTTGTATATCATGACCCCTGACCCATACCTTACCTGTGTATTCCTGTCATAACCTGACCCCTGTATATGACCCTTGTATATCATGACCTGTATATTTGTATATCATGACCTGTCATAACTGACCCATACCTTACCTGTGGCAATCCCTGTCATAACCCTGTATATTATGACCCCTGACCCATACCTTACCTGTAGTGATTCCTGTCATAACCCTGTATATTATGACACCTGACCATACCTTACCTGTGGCAATCCCTGTCATAACCCTGTATATTATGACCCCTGACCCACACCTTACCTGTAGTGATTCCTGTCATAACCCTGTATATTATGACACCTGACCATACCTTACCTGTGGCAATCCCTGTCATAACCTTGTATATCATGACCCCTGACCCATACCTTACCTGTGGTGATTCCTGTCATAACCCTGTATATTATGACCCCTGACCCATACCTTACCTGTAGTGATTCCTGTCATAACCCTGTATATTATGACCCCTGACCCATACCTTACCTGTGGTGATTCCTGTCATAACCCTGTATATTATGACCCCTGACCCATACCTTACCTGTGGTGATTCCTGTCATAACCCTGTATATTATGACCCCTGACCCATACCTTACCTGTAGTGATTCCTGTCATAACCCTGTAGTGATTCCTGTCATAACCCTGTATATTATGACCCCTGACCCATACCTTACCTGTGGTGATTCCTGTCATAACCCTGTATATTATGACCCCTGACCCATACCTTACCTGTGGTGATTCCTGTCATAACCCTGTATATTATGACCCCTGACCCATACCTTACCTGTGGTGATTCCTGTCATAACCTTGTATATCATGACTCTGTCTTTAATGCTATGACCTTACCTGTTGTGAGTTATGTTTATTCCTCACAGCCTCATCATACTTAGGAGGTTCCTTCTGTGGCACAAAGAATGGGTTGGACATGGTCCTGCCCAATGACAGTTTGGCCTCTACAGGAGAAGATGGCAAGGAGCTTGTCCTGAAACACAACACAAACACTTCATCTGTGATATCTTTCAATTTGACTGAGTACAATTTTTCATACGAAATGTTTCTTGGGACCATTAGATTTTCATTGAAAGCACAACACTCTCATGTTGAACTTTGCTAATTGCAGCTCATTTTAAAGAACTCATTCCAGCTATGTGTACCATATCCGGGCACCACTGTTACAAGTATTCCGACTAACAAACTAATTATTATGTGATACTTTAAAGTATCTCAAGGAGTATATTGAATCATGAGGCTTACCTTGTGGTAGCTAATCCGTTGAGTGGCGCAGTCAGTGTTATCGTCTTGGCACCAGAGGTCACTAGTAAGGTGGGCTGTTTGAACACAGCACCAGAAGTAGATGTACCAGGTTTTACAATGTTGAGACTCTGATGCAGCGACTGGGTTTTAAAGAAATCTGTGAGATTTGGTTTGGTTCCTTGTTTTTTGTTGTCAGATGCTGAACTTGTGGCAACCATAACAGTAGGAATTCCATGATGTGCAAGCTGAAGACCATGGGCTGTGGTCAACACAGGTGGGTTACCAATCATAGAATGCAAAGATTGAGAGGGGATCTGTACCAACTTGGTTATCCCCACACTGTTAGGTATTGGAGAGATCTTACCATCCCCCAAGTTCACCGTGGTCAGCATCTGAGGAGGGGACAAGGGCTGTTGAGGTGGGGAGATAGGCTGTTGTATTAATTGTGGAGGAGAAATTGGTTGTTGTACTGACTGAGGAGGTGATATTGGCTGCTGTAAGATCATTGGGGGTGAATTGGGTTGAGAGGTTATGGTGTGTATGATCTGTGGAGGAGGGGTTGGCTGTGGGCTTGGCTGTATAAATTGTGGGGGTGAGGTTGGTTGTTGGATTATCTGTTGTATTACTTGTTGTGGAGGAGAGTTTGGCTGTTGGGAAAGCTGTGGTGGTGAGGCTGGCTGTTGTGTCGGGTATGTTGTTTGTTGCTGTTGTAAATGTCGCTGCTGCTGCTGCAGATGATGATGTTGCATCTGCTGCAGCTTAAGTCTCATCTGGGACTCCTCTAACTCCTTCTGTAGCTGGGCAATTCGCCGTTGTTGTTGTAGCAGGATCTCACTACTGATCTGTGGTGTGGCTCCAGGCGGAGAGTTGGCTTGTTTCACTGGTTGAGGTTGGGGTTGTGCTTGGAGTTGTGGTTGTGACTGGGGCTTGGGCGATGTGACAATCGCTGATACTGGTGGAGTTACAGCCTGACTTACATCTGTGGGAGAAAATCTGCGAATATCCTGAGGTCCATCAACATCCATGTTAATGTCCATAGGAGCTACAGACGGAGGTCTGGAGTTGTCAACCGCCATAGGAATGGAGGACTGACTCAAAGTCAGTGATCCACTCTTATTCTGAGCATTTAGTGCTGATTGAGCAATGTCCATGATTTCTGGTGAAAGTGGAGTGGTGGTAATGATTTGTTCTGTCTTTGGGGAGCAGGGAGGAGACTGCATACACACAGTCTCCTCAAGTGGTGTTAGAGGAACAGACTTAACATTCACTAATGTTGGCACAGGTCTCTTTACCAAAGATGATGCATTATCATTTGCCACACTTGTGCTCACTGATCCCTGTGCCACACCAATTATTACATCGACATAGGGCTTCAATCTTTCTATCAACTGAGGCTTAGGACCAGACACTGGCAAATTTCTTTTCTTTAGTTCCAGTTTAAGATCAGCCACTTTCATGTCCTCCAGGTTAGAGAATGGTTTCTGCACTACATGATTGGACTTGCTCTGAGTTTTGGAGTGGTGAGTTTGGGACACTGGATGTGTGTGAGTACGTACTTGTGACCCAGATTTTTGTACTATAGAATGTCCACTTTGCACTTGAACCTGTTGCACTTTTTGAACTGGAGGCTGTGACACAGTTTGAAGTTGAGCAGGTTGCTGTTTTATCACAGTATGGGGAACAGTAGAAGACTGCAGTAATGATGTTGAAACTACAGTAGTAGCTACTTGTGAGGGCACCATGCCTTGTGCTGGCACCACCGTGGGGGTGGATAACATCCCTTGGGCAGGAACTACATTCTGAGGAGGCAGGAGTCCTTGGGCTGGCACCACACCCTGAGCCTGCACCACTGTGGGTGGACTGCTGGCAAATGAGGGAGGACTATTGATAGCAGAGGTGATAATAACACTTCCTGCAACACTGTGTCCCGGTGACACAGTTGTACTCGTCTCTGACTTCTGTTGTGGAAGTAAAGTGACGGGTACCGGGAGGTTCTTTTGCTGAAATTCCAACTGCCACTGCAGAAACAGCTGTTGTTGTTGAAGCATCCAATGGTATTTGGTTTCTGAGGTCGGTGGAGTGGTACTAACAGAACTCTGTGGAGAAGACGATGTAGATGTCACTGTTGACGTCACTTGCGATTTAGACGCACTTGGCGGTCCCTTGTATTCATGAAATTTGATCACTTTTGACTTTGCTGAAGTTTTTGGCTTTGACTTTTTCTGTCGTGAGACTTTGTTAATGCCATTACCAGAGTTTCCATTCTTGGATGATGACGATGAAGACAGGGATCCAGTGAAGGAAGTAATGGGAGTGTTGAGAACAGCAATCGATTGAGTATTGAGCATCTTGTTGAATGTAGGGGTTGTGATAGTTGTCTGTCGTGATTTAAGTTGTAGTGGTGGAGGATCAGGTGCTGGGGGCACCACTGGAGGACTGCCGATGTCCGACATTCCAGATTCCTCTGTCTGGGAAGGAGACGGTGCTCCCTCACTACTGTCATCATCAAACACAAAATGGTAAGACTTGGAATCTTTGTTGTCAGGAACTTGTAACTGCACAACTCCATCTGAAGAAAAGGGCCAAAAATATATATCAACTTATAGCACTAAGGTTTTGCGATTTAAATCATGACAGTCGCTTTACTTGGAAGCAGGTTGAAGAAGATAAATGATAACAATTAGCAAACTATATAGGATAGCAATTTTCAACAATGTCAGTTGGGTGGCACAGTGGTAACACACTCAGATTGGATGTGAAAAGGTAAGGGATTATCTACCCGACCTCATGGGTTTTGCCAGGGTACTCCTATTGCCTCCCTCAATAAAACAACTTGAACACTTCCATCAAGACCAACAGCATGATTAATATGGGTTTAAAGTTTGTTACATAATTGTTGCAAAATAAATAAAGTTTATAATTTAAACATGTCAGTCAGCTGATAGATGGAAGCTATTTAAGTTATATTATGGTATGAATGATGAATTTTGGAAATTAAACCCAACTCATGCCATGCACAAAAAGGAACTGAGATAATTCCACTGAACCATATTTACCAGATTATAAGCCAAACCTTTTCCCCTTGTGAGTCATGTGTGTGGCTTATACACCGGTGTGGCTTATACACCAGTGCGGCTTATATGTGGAACAAAAAAATATCGGCAGGATAACAAAACCAAAAAAACAGGAAGCGTACCAGTATGAGACGGTACTGTGTTTTTTACAAGTACCTGCCCCTGTTTGTGACTGAAACAGATCATCTTGTACCGTCATTTGCAAAATTGAAATAAAGATAACATTCTCATAGATTTAATTAATCATACATTTTAGAATGAATCACAATTATATCTTTTGAACTTTTGTGGTCTCTTCAAAGCCGTAGCGGAAGTTTACAAAAGCCTTTTGCATACTGGGATCAATGGGTCATCTGGTTATAGGTCAAATTCTAGCACACCTGCCATACTTGTCTACGGTATGAAAGGCTTCGTGTAACTTACAAAAAAAATACAGGACTTTAAGAATTTGGTCTTGGTTAATAGATAAAAGTATAGACACCAATGGAGAGATTGTTTAGTGAACCGTACGTTATGTCTGTTCCTATATCTGTGCGTAAACAATCTGTGACGACACCCAAGCTTTTTACGTTTTACATTTTATATCAAGACGGTAAAGGATCAGTCATAACTTTGATAAATTGCCTTCGACTGGCTGTTATAGCAACAAATTTTGGTAAATGTAATGCTTTGTAAGAAGTGCCTACCGCTATCTGTTATTGGTATATATCAAATGTCAACAACAGTGGTCACCACTAGAAAGGGTGCAGCTTATATGTGGATACAATCGGAAAAAATGCTAAAAACTGGCTTATAACCCATAAAATATGGTATATTTAACATTTTGTGTGTTTTTTCTGTATGAATAAGGAGTTGTTGAGGTAGTGGGCTGAGTTACGCTGATTAGATACAAAGATGTTTAATTTGAAAGGACAGAAGGCAATAGAGTGAGAGCATGCAATCAGTTTGTTAAGTGTAGTTTTATAGAATCTGTGTCTACTGTTTAGGGATTGGCTAAGGGTGATTGTTGGGAATGCTAAACAGGAGGAATGAGCCTATTTAATGTCCTTGTATTAATTATGAACCCCTAATGATCTAGCTACCTGTGATAGCATCTGTGAGCATTTCATCCTCAGTTTTTAGAATGTTGCCTCGTATTAGATCCAGTGGGCCTGGCCTGTGAAGGAGTTTTTCATTGAGATCATCTGCAAGTCGAGCACGCTTCAACAGACGTTGACGTTCATGCAGAGAAGGGTCTATTTTTGTATCTGAAAGGCACAAAACCATAAGACATGCAAAACCTTATAGCCACACAATAACCAAAACTTAAAACATAACCAAAGGGGATGTAAAACAACAGCACAGCTTATGGTAATCGGAAAAATATCCCATTTCCTTTACAGTAATTTGTTCCTTATCACCACTGTGAAAAGTAGAAAGGAAACAATCTTATAGGGGTTTAAACTTAAATCATTATTCTTACTATACTGTAGTACACAGTAGTGTATTTTCTAAATAAAACTACGGCACCCGATTCATTCTTGGATGAGGATCCACTTGTGAACAAGGTACAGGACAGTTTACTTTCAGTTCAGTTATTCAATTATGAACAAGGTAGTTCATCAAATAATGCTGCTGTTTTTTTTTATTCCCATCTTTTAAGGGTCTTCTAAAACAAAAGTAATTTAAACAAAACTCCTGTTTCTTCAAACTTAGAGAAGAGCAGCAGGCAGTTAGGCATTAATAATGTTAAAACACACATCAAAACAAGATTAAAGACAAACTTCTACAAAATATACCTGCCTTCTTTGAATGGCACCTGGTCCTAATTTTAACTATGTGCTCCAGATATTTAGGTATCATCCAGCATGCATATACCTTTGTTTTCTGTTCTCAAATTTGCTACATATCAAGATAATGTGTTTTACACGCACAATTTGTTTGTTTTCATCTTTATAGCCTTTCATCCACTTCCTTCGTCTTATTCTCCGATATTCACATTATGTAAATTCAAAGGCTGTAGACATTAAAAGATTAATTTTTTCTGAACTGTAGACTTCCGTTCTTTTTTGGTAATAATAATGGCTACACCAATGGGATCAGATCTGTTATTGTGTAATTAAATGTGCCCCATTAGGGAGCACATGTGCTTGTTTAATTGGCCACCTATGGCTACCCCTATGTGTGACTAACAGGTAAGCATGAGAAGAAATAGCATAGCATTATTAGACAAGATGAAAAGTTATCAGCGTCTTATGCAGAGAGGAAGTGGAGCATGTGGATACTATAGAGAGAATTATGAAGTGGTATTGCTGGGTATATTAAACAGTAGATCTATAACTGGGGAGGGAGAATATCTTACTACATAAATCTGTGTGTCAAATCTTATTTACAGTGTGTCAACTATTTACATAAATCTAGCTGGCCATGCTGAAGAATAATCTTATCTTATACTTTGTGTGTCAACTATTTACATAAATCTAGCTGGCCATGCTGAAGAATAATCTTATCTTATACTTAGTGTGTCAACTATTTACATAAATCTAGCTGGCCATGCTGAAGAATAATCTTATCTTATACTTTGTGTGTCAACTATTTACATAAATCTAGCTGGCCATGCTGAAGAATAATCTTATCTTATACTTTGTGTGTCAACTATTTACATAAATCTAGCTGGCCATGCTGAAGAATAATCTTATCTTATACTTTGTGTGTCAACTATTTACATAAATCTAGCTGGCCATGCTGAAGAATAATCTTATCTTATACTTCATGTGTCAACTATTTACATAAATCTAGCTTTGTGTGCCATGCTGAATAATCTTATCTTATACTTTGTGTGTCAACTATTTACATAAATCTAGCTGGCCATGCTGAAGAATAATCTTATCTTATACTTCATGTGTCAACTATTTACATAAATCTAGCTGGCCATGCTGAAGAATAATCTTATCTTATTCTTTGTGTGTCAACTATTTACATAAATCTAGCTGACCATGCTGAAGAATAATCTTATCTTATACTTTGTGTGTCAACTATTTACATAAATCTAACTACAATATCTATCTTATTCTCTTCTTTTTATTTAAAACATTTTGGAATTTTGGTTTCCATCTCCCTGTGTAGATTTCTATGATCAATAGGCAGAGAAATACAGTACAGTGGAATATTTAGGGCATGAACATGTATTTGATGTCATCCTTCATATCATATAAGTGATACACAGAGAGGATAAATTTTAGGCAAAACTAATTAATATAACTTCACATTTTGTAAAATTTAACGTTGGTTCTGTCAACTCCATGCGTCCTTTAGCTTGGCAAATGTGGTTAGAACACTTCAAAAAAACATAAGTAAGTAGACAGTTCCTAACACTGACTTTCTGATTGTCACTCTTCAAATCAGATCAATATTAAGATAGACTTTAACAATTAGATCAGAGAGAAGTGTTAGAGAACTGTCCACCAAACTTCACTCTTAAGAATTTGTAGTTACCTTCTAATATATGTTGTTGTACCAGCAGCTGGCGATCGGGCCGATGGATGATTTTGTGGCGTAACAAATCTCCAGTCTGCAATGCAGAAATTCAAACTCATATTATCATCAAAACAAAACTGATTTTGTCTACCTTATTAATCAACAACTCTAGTAAACTGAAACAGAAAACCTGTTACTCTGGCCCCATTGTTTTCAACAGAAAGTACCAGGTATTAGTGGTAAAGTTACCAGTGTCAGGACAACAATATCAGTTGTGACAAAAAGATATGACATCCAGGTAGGTGGCAACAGAAAAGTTTCACATCCAGGAACATGGTGACAGGAAAGTGGGACATCCAGGTAGGTGGCAACAGAAAAGTTTCACATCCAGGAACATGGTGACAGGAAAGTGGGACATCCAGGTAGGTGGCAACAGAAAAGTTTCACATCCAGGAACATGGTGACAGGAAAGTGGGACATCCAGGTAGGTGGCAACAGAAAAGTTTCACATCCAGGAACATGGTGACAGGAAAGTGGGACATCCAGGTAGGTGGCAACAGAAAAGTTTCACATCCAGGAACATGGTGACAGGAAAGTGGGACATCCAGGTAGGTGGCAACAGAAAAGTTTCACATCCAGGAACATGGTGACAGGAAAGTGGGACATCCATGTACGTGGACACAGAAAAGTTTCACATCCAGGAACATGGTGACAGGAAAGTGGGACATCCAGGTACGTGGACACAGAAAAGTTTCACATCCAGGAACATGGTGACAGGAAAGTGGGACATCCAGGTACGTGGACACAGAAAAGTTTCACATCCAGGAACATGGTGACAGGAAAGTGGGACATCCATGTACGTGGACACAGAAAAGTTTCACATCCAGGAACATGGTGACAGGATAGTGGGACATCCATGTACGTGGACACAGAAAAGTTTCACAACCAGGTACATGGTGACTAGACAGTGGGACATCCAGGTACATGGTGACAGGATAGTGGGACAACCAGGTACATGGTGACAGGATAGTGGGACAACTAGGTACATGGTGACAGGATAGTGGGACAACCAGGTACATGGTGACAGGATAGTGGGACAACCAGGTACGTGGTGACAGGATAGTGGGACAACCATGTAGGTGGTGACAGGATAGTGTGACAACCATGTATGTGGTGACAGGATAGTGTGACAACCATGTAGGTGGTGACAGCATGTCTGGTCAGTACAATCATGTCAATAAACCTGACGTAAAATAAACAATTATCTGTGATAAGCAACAGTTAATAGATCTACTTCAGTTATCCTAGTATCTGATGAGAACAAAAACACATCAAAAAGCATAGAGGATGTTGTCACCTACAACCTGTAAAGATGTTTACCATTGGGTAGAGTGAGTTGATAAAGACAAGAACCAGCTATTCTACAGACAGCATCCTCTTCCGAAATATCAGTTCAGAAATGTTTGGGTAACTACTATTGCTGGGAAGATCTATTTTAGGATATTACATATAGTCTATGTCCAGATGTGAAATTCTGACAGTCTTTTGTGGATCAAAGTGGAGAAGGGTCGACAGGAACATGGTCCTGGTGAATGGACTGGAAGGGAACACAAAGTTGAAAAGCCATCTCCTCATTATCACCACAGTAACCTCCCCTCTACAGACAACCTGTCTCATCAAGGGTTGTCTAACACATCAAACACCCCCAAACCCAGTCAGCCAGCAAATATGAAGAAATCAGGCTTGGGACAAGAACACAGGCAACAGTTTAATTTAATTTAGTGACTTCCATCAGGTACCCCATAGTGCCAGTATTAGCCAACATGACTTGGCAGAGGCAGGACCTATAGAGCACAGCTATCTGTAGACAGAGTACTATCTCTGACAAAGTAATGAAGGACTCCAGGTTCCTTTATCTTACATAATCCAATAAATAATGAGATAGAAAACTGCAGGCCAATTGATAGGTAGATATGGATGAATTGTACATATTTAAGATAAACAGGCTGATGTCTCCAAAGGCTCTGATTACATAGCACTGATCAGTATCAAATTCTCCCTCACCACGGACTCCCTGTCTCCAGGTACAAGAATATCATGATAATTAGTTGAAATCACATATCCGTATCAAAAACCCAGTAGGTTTGGGTACCAGAGACTCCTGTTTAAATTTTCCTGGTGTTTGTGGCGATACACGGCTGCTGATCATACACCAAATAACCTCTGTGACCTAGTGTTCACAGTGGTATCCACTTTTGTTTTTTTCATTAACTAGTGCTGACAGATCTTCCCAAAAGATGAGACACTCCCGTTACCTAATTCCACTCCCCTATCCATATAGGCCCCCTACTGACCACTACAAACACCAGACATGCTGTACAGATAGCACTTACAAGGCATTGTACTGGTCAGGCTAGAGTCAATACCAACAGACAATTGGTTGTAGGAGCTTACATGTTTGTGCTGGACATACTAGAGTGAATATCAGACAAATACACAAAGACATACCAGAGTCAATATCAGACAAATACACAAAGACATACTAGAGTCAATATCAGACAAATACACAAAGACATACTAGAGTCAATATCAGACAAATACACAAAGACATACTAGAGTGAATATCAGACAAATACACAAAGACATACTAGAGTGAATATCAGACAAATACACAAAGACATACCAGAGTCAATATCAGACAATTGGTTGTAGGAGCTAACATGTTTTCACTTGTCAGATTAGAGTAACTACCAAATGGTGCTGGCAACTTGCATATTAGTTCACCCAAAGTCATAAAAATCACCAAGGGAATGTGACCAATGAGCTGTAGTTATCTCTGACAACCATGCATTATACACTTGTCCATAACATTTGTAAGTAATCAAGACGTAACCTTACCAACACTTAGAAAATAGCAAATATTGAGAAAGAATATGGAGAAAAACCATAAAATAATACGAATCACAACTAAAGTACATAGGAACACCATGAAATGGTGGCAATCAGAACGGAAAAATATCAACAAAACCATCAAACTGGGAGCAATCACCAGGCGGCTTATAAAAACGACCATAAAGATGTTACATACTCTTTATTAAGGAGGCTTCCATCATCTGGCAACAATATAGCACATTGACTGTGACCAAGTTTCTATATATAGATCATTTTTCATCCTGTTGCCACATCACTTTCTATCAGGTACATATTAATACGGGTCACTATCAGGCATTAAGGTGTCTACTGCTGTGTGTACCTGTGTTTGTGACATATGGACTTAAGTTATCATTTTGTGTGTGTTTTTCCAGTGTGAATGACCTTAGTTGTGTATTTGTGCAAGTTGGTTGTACGATGGTAGGTGTCAGTTATGTGTATATGTACATGAAATAATAGATTTAGATGGACTCATCTGAAATTTGTCCAAAAAGAGGTGCCTTTTGATAATTTTGTTAAAGCTTATTCCAAATAATTCTACTGATACTGAGTTCCTTATTTCTGATAAACCTTTACCAAGTAATCCTACTGATAAAGTAACTCTTATTTCTGATAAACCTAATCCTTTATCCAATAATCCTGATAAAGTTACCCTTATTTCTGATAAACCTTATTCTATACCCAATAATCCTACTGATAAAGTGAACTCTTATTTCTGATAAAAACCTTTATCCAATAATCCCTGATAAAGTTACCCTTATTTCTGATAAACCTTATTCTATACCCAATAATCCTACTGATAAAGTGATCCTTATTTCTGATAAACCTAATCCTTTATCCAATAATCCTGATAAAGTTACCCTTATTTCTGATAAACCTTATTCTATACCCAATAATCCTACTGATAAAGTGAACCTTATTTCTGATAAACCTTTACCAAGTAATCCTACTGATAAAGTTACCCTTATTTCTGATAAACCTTATTCTATACCCAATAATCCTACAGATAAAGTGATCCTTATTTCTGATAAACCTAATCCTTTATCCAATAATCCTACAGATAAAGTGAACCTTATTTCTGATAAACCTTTACCAAGTAATCCTACTGATAAAGTTACCCTTATTTCTGATAAACCTTATTCTATACCCAATAATCCTACTGATAAAGTGATCCTTATTTCTGATAAACCTTATTCTATACCCAATAATCCTACTGATAAAGTGATCCTTATTTATGATAAACCTAATCCTTTATCCAATAATCTACTGGTACAGTAACAGATATGTTTAGATAAATGCTTCACCAATAAGAAAGTATACAGCATGTGTCTGACCTTACTGTTCAAGTAACATCACCAGACACTGACTGGCTGCCATCGCAAAACTTACCAAATGGTTTGTTTGAGATAGAAAAACTACTGCTAAAGAAACGAAACTACCCTTGCTAAAGAAATGAAACCACCCTGTGACAGGCTCATTACGTAAACAGAAATTTGTACTCAATGCTCCTTCATACTGTTAGGTATGACGTATGAAACAAAACATTCCTCAGTGCATCACTGACCTTGATCTTCAACAGATAGCAGACATGTTTTAAACAACTTACATAGTTGCAGAAAATTTATTTAGGCATAACAATTAAGACCATACCAATTAAGTTCATAAGTCTTAAATTGTTTCAGTTTGACTGAGGACAAAGTCCAATAATTCTGCAATTATAGCTTGGTATTTTCTGCCTATATTCCCACAAGCTGCTACAGTATTTTTATAACACAGATTTTCCGTGATGATATGGAACAATAACACTCTTGTCATATAAGGGAAATCCAATACAAGTGCATGATAAAACTTCCAGATATGTCACATTAGAAATTTTAAATAAAACCTTCTTTCTCCCATCAAAATATTTATTTCTCTTATTGGCATGATAAGAAACACAAAATCACAAAACTAACATTATCAATTTTTCTATCTCTATATTAAGCCACATTTCAAGATGGAAAAACCGTCCACCATTTTTAACTTTCATAAAACACAGTTATTTCCTATACAATGCTTTCTTTGAAAAGCACTGAGATTGCGTTGCCCCCTGGTGACAGTAATAAACATTTATTTACTGAATCTCAATCATCTGACAAGCATAAAGCAGTGGTGAAAGATCCA